AAAAAAAAAAAAATCATTTGAACTGAGAATAGTCCAAAAACGTACCATCTGCACGGAGAAAAAGATATATAAAATATCTCTCGTGACAAAAAATCGGAACTTCAATGTTCTCCATTTCCTATCAGCAACGCCGTGTACTCTTAGATAATAAGGAGCCTTGCAAGTTGTGCAATGAGCAAAGGCAAACCCTTCCTGTAGAGTACATAAGGAAAGAAAAGGAATACTTTACGGTTGCATACTTAAAAGAGAGCAAAAAACATCAGAGATTATACAATCGATTTAAGCAACTACCATGAACTGTAAATAGAACAGACTTTTTTGAGCTATAACTTTCGCCAACATTAATAGTTTATCTAGTGATGAACAAGTGGCGAGCCCCTAACTTCACATCGAAGACAATGGAGGAAAGGTATTTCAACGACAAACTCAAATAAAATAGAATAACAATAAGGTAAAAGCAGAACTTGAAGTGAAATTAGCGGCAACAATTCCAGGAAAAACAAGAACACTCAACCTCTAAAAAAAAGCCAAGATTTTACCTCTTCAACAACCAAAAAAGATATTTACCTTCACCGCACGCCAATGATCTAGACAGTCTCTGTGAACATATTTTGCTGTCCCTTTACACTTACATGGAGCAATAAAATCCCTACCTGATCAAAAACCCAAATAACACGGTTCATCTAAAAAATTTATTTACGAATATAAAAATAAGAACAAAACATTATAGGCAGATAAGCTGCAACCATTATGTCGACTAACATTAATTGTGGCATTTCGACACCTTCACGGGTTACAGTTTGCATATTGCACACATACTTCTCTCCAAACGTGACACAAAGAAAATGCAATCCCACTTACAAGCAAAATTGCCACTACATAGTTCTAAAAAGGTAAAGAACGCGACACATTTCACTCGCAAACACAAAGAGGCAACCCTTTTCATTGCAAGATCATTACAGCATAACAACAAATGAACATCCAAAATCGAGAATTGAGTAAAAATTAGGGGTTTTACCGTCGGTTTCGAGGCAAATACGGCATTGAATTTGCTCATCGGGCCCCGCCTCGAGGTCAATCTCAGATGGGTCCTTGACAGGCGCCGGCGGCACCAGCGGCGAAGAATCGGAGCTCTCGCCGACCATTTTTTTGCCAAAGAAATTAAAACAGAAAAGAAAAGGAGGGCACAAAACGATGATGAATTTCAGCAATTTGAATTCAATACCATATGGACAAACAAAAAAAAAAACCCTTTTCTGAAAATCCACCGAAAATTCTACACTTGTGCATAAAATTCAAACTTTTATCAATTGATTTAGCAGAAAAAAAAGGGGGTCTTTCAGAGATTCAGACCTTCAATCAGTGTTGAAAGTCTGAGAGAGGTTCTTTTGTTTGGGAATGGAAGCTTTTTTAGCTAGTATATGACCAAAGAAAAGGAAACGAATAATAATGTGCTCGAAGAAAAAGTCTTTCCGCACTATACACTGCTTGGTATGAAATCTCCAATTTGCCCTTTGATTTAGGGGAAAAAAAATAACCTTCCAATGTGCCGATATTTGGAGTTTGCCTTACGAATTTTTTTTCTTTGACAATTTGTCTCTCATAGTAATCGAAACTGACAATTTGTCTCTTCGATTAAAAACCCTAATATGCGACAAAAAAGTTTTTAACTCAATTAACGATAAATTTTAAGTTGATCAATAAAATCGATTTACGACTTTAAAAGTCCATGGCGAGACGAAAAAAACTATGTATGGTTTGTCAATTTCTGAAAAGTGATACATCTGTAATCGATCGACGAAGATAGTAGGAGCACGTAAGCATAGAAAAAATTTCAATTCAAATTTTCTGATAATCAAGGTATTCGATTTTCGATTAAAATGTGCCATTTGAAAGCCTGAAAGATGAGTTTCTAACGAAGTAAATCTTATGAAAATTCAACGGTAGGATTTTGATTATTAGCCTAAATAAAAAACTAACTACTGGTCAGTAGTTTTCTAACTACTGGCCAAAATCCGATCGTTGGATGTTCATAAGAGTTACGCATTAGAAAATTGGTCCACCAAGCTTTCGAATGACACCTCCCAATCAAAAATTGGAAACCCTGGTGATCAGAAAACTTGAATTAATTTTTTTTCTATACACATGTGCTCCTACTATCTTCATCGATGATTATAGATTTATCAGTTTTTTAAGAAATCGACAAAGTATACCTCATTTTGTTGGAGTCGCCATGTGCTTTAAAAACCTTAAATCAATTTTAAAGATAAATTTAAAATTTATCGTCAATTGAGTTAAAAACCTTTTGTGCCATATTAGAGTTTTTAATCGAGGAGGCAAATTGTTAGTTTCGATTACTATGAAGACAAATTGTCAAAGAAATAAGTTCGTAGGGCAACCTCTGAAAATGGCAGAGTTTAGGAGGTTAAAATTTTTTTCCTTTGATTTATTCTGCTTATTTTATAATAAATAATTTGTATGTATTACGTCTGTTTTTGGATTATAAAAAAATAATTTGTTTTAATATGTATCAAGTCTGTTTTTTTGAATTTTGCTTAATTTTTAGTTATGCAACTTATATATTTCATAATTTTTCAAAAGTAAAATGCAAAAAATCGTCCCTAATTAAAAAATGTCATAATTAATATTTCTTATTTTATTTTATTATTTTTGGTCAAATAAAAATTTACATTTAGTGGTATTAATATATATATTATTCTAAACAAAGAAAGCACATATATATTATTTAAAACATAGTTATTACAGAAAACTAAATTTCCTTAACTTTTTTGGTTGTATTTTTAGTTATTTTTTTTGTTTGTGTTTTTACATTGAGGATGACAGTATTATCAACACCAAAATACCTAACTATTTATAAACTAAACACACAATTGTTTGAACATACTATATTTTAAACAATCAAGGCTCATTAATTGGACTGATTGCAAATGAGGGAGTCTTGCTTATTTATAGTCCCCACCCTCTAATAAACTATCCAGAACTACCTAGTCTAATATCGCTTCCCTAACACTTCATAATATTAACTATAATGTTCTAGATTCATCTACACATGTTAATCCCTACTACAATAATCTACTTGTAGTCTCAACCAAAATCTAGTATCTTCTTCGAGCTTCATTGGTATATTGTAGAAACATTATGGGCTTTCAGTAGCTTTCTCTTGCATCTAGATCCTTCTACAATATCCGGGACCTTCGACATTTTTCAGGGTCATTCTAGATGATTTCGAAACCTTCCACAATGTTTTGGACGTTCTCTAAATTTCCGACGAGTAAGTTGTTGCGTCGTTTATGTCGTCCCTCATTCGTTTGGCGGTTTTCCTCGACGACAAAGAAAATAGTGTTATTCACGACATCCGGGTTCACTCATTCGTATTGTGTTTATGTCGTCCCTCATTCGTTTGGCTGTGTCCATGCAGTATAGACCAAAAAGCATAAGCTATATAGAGCTCATGCATTAAAGATTGCCCTTATGCATAAAATTCATATTTAAAAGCTAGAAAAAAAAATGGGTCTTTAAGATGAACCTATGTTTAACAATCTTCAATAATCATCCCCACAACACATGAAAGAGGCACAATGAGTTTGCACATATACTCAATAGCCCGATGGAAATCCTCCCTTTCTAGCATCAACAACAGCCATAAGTTTGCCATCACTTACATTCCTCACGACAAAAACGCAGCTCGATAA